ACTATTTCTTTCCTTCACTGACTTTTTAGAATCATAAGTAAAAATCAATAGTTGTCCTTCTGTGCTCTAAAATTAGTTTTTTCTTATGTTGAGGAATTATGTATTTTCTGCTTTATATTCATTGGAACTACAGTGTTGTCCCAAAATGCCAAATTCAGATGCTCCATAAACTTGGGTTATGCAGAAAACAAATTTGTTAAATATAATCAAAACAAACACTTGAGGTTTTCTATATTGAAGCTTTGTTTTAAAATGAAATTCTGTATGGTGTTGGATTTCTTTGCAAATAGAAAAGGGAGCCTTTGGGGTATATATCGACTTATAAATTGTTTCCAACAGCCTCTGCTTTAACTCAATAACTATTTAAAATGTGTGCCTAGTGTGTATTGATATAGCTCTTTTCAAAAGCAATACATTATTACATAGTATGGCGCAGAAAATCCAAATTAATTGAAGCAATTTTCTCTATAAAATATTTAAGAAAATCTAAAATGTGTCCATAAAATCTGAGAACACTAACAGGACAATATTGGAATTTCAACATCCAATATTAAAGGAAAAACTTAATAAAGTATCCACATAATTTAATAATTTAACTATTAAAGTAATAACTATGGAGTCCATATCAAAATGTGGACTGAGGTTTACAATATGGTTAAAAATAGAATTATAGCCCTAGCTGGTTTTGCTCAGTGGATAGAGCGGCCTGTTGGCTGAAGGGTCCCAGGTTTGATTCTAGTCAAGGGCACATGCCTGGGTTGTGGGCTTGATCCCCATTAGGGGACATGCAGGAGGCAGCCAATCAATGATTCTCTCTCATCATTGATGTTTCTATCTCTCTTTCACTCTCCCTTACTCTCTGAAATCAATAAAGATATATTTTTTAAAAATAGAATTATATAAATGATATATATTTTAAAGATATGTAAAATATGGAAATTTACCTATGAAATAAATGTGCAAAAGTGAAGATTTTTTTTAGGCTTTATGTGGTTCTTGGACCCTACAGTCCATGTATAATTTACATAGCTAGAAAATAGATTCTCTTTATTTCTATTTTATAGACATATAGGAGAGGACTCATAAAATTTAGGTGCTATACCTATAAAATTAATTGACCATTGAAGAATTTTAAATAGAAAAGATAGTACCTATATTTGAATTAAAAGTTATTCTAATATACTGCTGCTATAATTGAATTTCTTACATGTTTTGAAAAGATTATATTATTTGATCTTGAATGCTAAATAATTATGAAGCAAAGTGTGATACACTGGTAATGTTGCTTTATGGCATTGTACATTAAACTGAAAATTAACTATAAGATGTATACATATGGAAAAGACATTTTCAAAAATTGTAATAAATTGACATACTTAAATCAATTTATAATTTGTATAATTCACTTGAGAATTTTAATTTTTCCATAAAGTGCTATCTAATACAGTATTACACTATAATTCAAAGAACATTAGTGTAGTTTCCAACATGGATAAATTTATTAATGGTAGCTTATTTGTAGTGCATATGATTCGATTAAAGAGTGAATTATCTGAGCACTTTTTCTTATTTACATTATCCATATCTGTTTTAGCTTCTATCACAAACTTTTCTGTTTCTTAGCAATTTCTATAATTATTATTCATGTTTAAGAATATGTTTTAGTCCTATAATGATGCTTTCATTCAACATCTGGAAAGGTTTTTAAATGTAGTTTCTAAAGTACTCATTTCCATAGAAGAACCAAACTTGTCATTCTCACAAATTTAAAAAAATTATTTTATCCTGAAGATAGAAAAGCAACATTCAGACATAAAACACCAAACTTAATACTTGAGTTTTTCTTAGAAATTTAAAGTATATTTGCCATGATCACAGAGAATCAATTTTTTTTCAAATCCTATTCTCACCAGTGACTGGTATATTTGAATGGTTTTCTGGAAATGAATTAGAAAGATATCATGAGTTCATGAATATATTTCTAATTTGAGTTTACTACTGTAGAGTTTTTACATACTTTATTGAACTGACATCTGTATTTCCTTTCTCGCTAGGAGAAAAGAAAAACCCTAGTTATCAATGACACCAACATAATTATTCATTTGCTTTATCCCTTAATATATAGACACTGGTTCTGAATTATAACTCCAATACCACCATCAATAATATCCTTACTAAAAATAATTTAATATTTTTGCAGTTTTTAAAATCTATAAAATATATCCCTTTGAGATGTATGTTAAGTTACTGTGTTTTAAAGTCACTTTAAGTAGTTCCTCTTGGAGTCTATGCATCCAATTCAATACACAGGTTTCTTTCTTTTATTTTTCTTCTTCTAATTTTTCAAAATTGCTTTTTTATTGTTGACAGTATTGCAGACATCTCCCCATTTTCCTGCCTTTGCCCCCCCCCCAACCTGCCTCAGCCCAAGCCTGCACCACATTATTGTCTGTGTCCATGGGCTATGTATATATGCATATATGTTCTTTGGATAATCTTTCCCGTCCCCCCGAACCACACTCCCCTCTGCCATTTGTCAGTCCATTTCATGTATTCATGCCTCTGGACCTACTTTGTTCACCAGTTTATTTTATTCATTAGATTCCACATATAAGTGAGATCATGTGATACCTGTCTTTCTCTGGCTTATTTCGCTTAGCATAATATTTTCAAAGTCCATCAATATTGTCACAAATGGTAAGAGTTCCTTCTTTTATACAGCCACATAGTATTCCATTGTGTAAATGTACCACAGCATTTTTATCCACTCATCAACTGATGGGTGCTTGGGCTGTTTCCAGATTTTAGCTACTGTAAATTGCGCTGCTCTGAACATAGGGGTGCATACATTCTTTCTGGTTGGTGTTTCAGGATTCTTAGGATATATTCCCAGAAGTGGGATCACTTCCATTTTTAACTTTTACTGTTTTCCACAGTTGCTGTACCAGTCGGTATTCCCACTAGCAGTATACTAGGGTTCCCTTTTTAAAATGTTAATTTGTTTTCTAACACTTAAAAATATTTACAGGATTCCAAAATGAATCTTAAAGGGAAGCTGTAGTCAGAGACATTTCGCTTTTAACCCTGTAGTGTCCATCCTATTTTCTTCTCATCCTATAGGGGTAACAGTTGTTATTGTTTTCTATTCCTAGATTTCTCCTTATATTGTATTTTATGTATTTTTCTCCACTTAAGTTTTATCACTTAAAAATATGTCCTGAAATAATGCCATTGTAGTATTTATAGATAGTCACAATTCCTTTTTACAACATCATAACTCTCTGATGGATGTAGCATGGTTTTTCAAATAGTCTGGTATTGATGGATATTTAAATTGTTTCCAATCATTACAAACAATTGTCAGTGAGTAGGCTTATAAATATATCACTTTGTTTTTTGTGCAATGTATCTTTAAGATGAATTCCAAAAAGCCAAAGTATAAATGAACATAGAATTGTCTTCAAATTGTTGAATTTCCCTTTATAAGAGTTGTACCATTTTGCATTTTTCCCACCTATGCATTTAAGTCCTTTTCCACCACAGCCTTTTGAACAGAGAACCTGGTATCAGATTTTTGGATTTTTTTGCCAACTTGGTAGATAAGGAATAGTATCTCAGTATATTTAATTTATATTATTCTTTTTATGAATGAGTTTTAACATCTATGTAAGAAACTTTTAAAATGTAGAAAACTTAAAATGAAAAATATTTTGTTATAAAAAATTTTTAAATATATATAATTTAGGTAAATTTGGGGAGTTTAATACAAGATTACTTTAGGATGAAGTTAGATTGTTAAAACAGTGATATATATATATAGAGAAAAAGACATGATTCTGAAAATAAACTTCAGAAATCAAGGATTTCAATTTTATTCAAATGCAACAGAAACCATGCAAATAATTCTTACATTGATAAGCAATAATTTACTGTAGTTAAGAAGTTTGTGATATAAATTTTTATAAAGTACTAACACTTTATTAAGTCCTAAATAGTTTTATAGAGAGGAAGGAAGAGAGAGAGAAACATCCATTTGTTGTTCTATTTATTTATGCATTCATTGGGTGATTCTTGTATTTGCCCTGACCAGGGATGGAATCTGCAACCTTGGCTTAGCAAGACGATGCTCTAGCCCAGTGGCCGGCAAACTGCAGCTCGTGAGCCACATGTGGCTCTTTGGCCCCTTGAGTGTGGCTCTTCCACAAAATACCGACTTCTGTGCATGGGCCACGAAGTTTCAATCGCACTGTACGTGCGCACCCGCACGTGGTATTTTGTGGAAGAGCCACACTCAAGGGGCCAAAGAGCTGCATGTGGCTCGCCAGCTGCAGTTTGCCGGCCACTGCCTAGCCAACTGAGCTATCTGGCCAGGGTCTAAGAAGTTTGTGATGTAAACATTTATAAAATACTAAGGCTTTATAAAGTCCTAAGTCTTGAAAGAAAAGCATATGAATGATCTTGTCATTGCAGAGGATTTTTCTATAGAAGATTTAGATTTAATAAAACATAGGAGCCAAGTGTATCACACTCCATGTAGAGACAAAATCAGTTTAAAGAAAAATGTCCTCCTCTAACAAAACCAAAGACGATGAGTTCTGGTCCTTATTCTTGGACTACTTGAAATTTTCCTTTGTTCCCTGATAGTATTTCTAAATACATTTTAACTAGAGGCCTGATGCACAAAATTCATGCAAGAGTAGGCCTTCCTTCCCCTGGCTGCCAGCACCGGCTTCCCTCTGGCACCCGGGACCCCGGCTTCCCTTGCAGCCCCAGCTTCGTCCAGAAGGTCATCCAGTCTCATTAGCATATTATGCTTTTATTATTATAGATACTTTATTTAGATTGAATAGAGAAAATCGTAAGGCTACTTTGTTAATCTGACACCTATACTTGATGTCCTGCTCATCAAGAATTATGTATTTTGGGAAGAAAAATATTACAGAAAGGATATGGAATATGATTCCTGTCAATTAATTCTTAGTTATTTTCTTTCATTTCAGCGCCTTCCCTGATAGGTATGGTAAGGAAGGACTGGGCATCCCAAAATAGCATTGCCCTATCATGGCAAGCACCTGCTTTTCCCAATGGAGCCATACTGGACTACGAGATCAAGTACTATGAGAAAGTAGGTCTTATTTGGAGCTTCCTAAAAAGTTACATATACATATATGTGCATATATGTATATACTGAGCATGTTATTATACTATATTATCTCACTTTAAAAAACTGTTCTTCTTTGGCCTAACCACATACCTCTATGTTTTTGAATACTCTCTAATTTACTATTGTGATATAATTTCTTAATTAACTTACCTTGTTTTATGTTAGATTAAAGTAGAAGATAACAAGGTCTTTATCTTATCCTAGGGAGTTTTAACATATAGTAAGAAGTAGTAATTCCTGCAACTTAACAGTTCTGTTGACATAACACTGTTTCTAAATTCACTTGGGAAGAAATAGTAAAATGAAATTATTATAACCTAAAAAGAGTTTGTATAGGTCATATTACTTGCCAATGAATTTAAAGTCACAGCCTTAGCTCGTTTGGCACAGTGGATAGAGTGTTGGCCTGCGGACTGAAGGGTTCCGGGTTTGATTCCAGTCAAGGGCACATACCTGGGTTGCAGGCTCCCCCTTTGCCTGGGCCTGGTCAGGGTGTGTGCAGGAGGCAACCAATCGATGTGTTTCTCTCACATCGATATTTCCCTGTCTTTCCTTCTCTCTTTCACTCTCTCTAAAAAAAAAAAATCAATGAGAAAATATCCTCAAGTGAGGTCCAAAAAAAAAAGTTTCAGTACACTATAATTTGGGAAGGACTATTTAAGGGATATATGGTAATAGCAGACTTTTAAATTTTTTCTTTACATTCCCACATCAGCTGTTTTATTATATAAAAATCTAGCAAAATAAAACTGGTTAATAAATCTGCTGGCGACCTTAATTTTCATATTATCATTTAAAATAGTTCTCAATTACTATATTTCCATGAATTATATACTTACCTTTATTGTTTTCACACTCTTTATGCTCCCCTCCCCAATTCCTCACCATTATGCTAGTGTTGCTATAAATATTACAGCGGACCACATGGTCAACTTTGATAGACTCATTGTGCTACTATGGAATATTGACACAGAGAGCATTGATACAGGGAATATTGATACTGGGAACATTCAATTTAAAAATTAAATGTACTAATTGTATATCATATTCAATGGTATATTACAATAAGCATGAACTTGTCACATTTCTCAAACTTACTAGAAGCAAAGAAACATCATTAACAAATTTAGGTCTCCTCTGAAGAAATACGAGGCAAGCAGAGAAACAAAAATATGTTTCTATTCTATTGCTTCTGAGCAAATGTAAGTTTGAGAAAAGGAGAGGTAACTCAGTAGCATGGCTGTATTTATTTTGACACTCTAGTAATATCAGCATTAGGCAGTCAATGAAAACTGTCACTATCATGAATTCACACGGATAATTCATAGTCTAAAAAAGAAGAAATTTACTGAGTTTAAATTGGGTTATAGATTCTGCACATTAGCCATGCCAACATGTGTTTAGATATCTTGTTGGACTATCCTTTCAAATGTTACAACCTGTAGCATGCTGTCACAAGAATATACATATACTAGAGGCCCAGTGCACGAGATTCATGAATTTGGGGGGGCCCTCAGCCCAGCCTGTGCCCTCTCACAGTTCAGGAGCCCTCGGGGATGTCCAACTGATGGCTTAGGCCCACTCCTCCTGGGGAGTGCAGTCGGACATCCTTAGTGCTGCCTCGGAGACAGGAGAGGCTCCCGCCACTGACGCTGCACTCACCAGCCATGAGCCTGGCTTCTGGCTCAGTGGTGCTCCCCCTGTGGGAGCGCACTGACCACCAGGGGGCAGCTCCTGCATTGAGCATCTGCACCCTGGTGGTCAGTGTGCTTCATAGCTACCAGTTGTTCCACTGTTCAGTCAATTTGCATATTACCCTTTTATTATATAGGATTCTGTTATCTAATTCAATAGATCTTCATGTATTCACAAATTGTGATTATTTAAAAATCAATGCACACACACATATAAGGAACTTTCAGAATAAAAATATTTCTTCACATTTTATAAAGGTTATATTTCATACACAGCAAATCACTCTTATTTTATAGTCATTTCTACTTCATGTTTGAAGATGAAGATAACTTGCAATATTTCCAATTAAGGACAAATTATACAGATTCCATAAAAAGGGAACCACATTCATCCAATCAAGATTTTAGAAATCAATAAGGTCTGAAAGGCAGTAATTGACATAATAGTTATGTTTTAATTATGGAATAAATAATATTTCAAAGGAGTTTATTTTGTAAGAAAGTGGCAATGATCTAATGCTAATGGATTGAACATGAAGTTGGAAGTTAAAGATTTTAAATTTATGACTCTTGTTATGTTTATGGCCAGGAAAAAGTCAATTAATCTCCCTGTGTCTCAGACTTTATATTTACAAAATGGAAATGAAGATATCAACCATTCTAGTAGGTTGTAAAATTGAATTATAAACAGACTTGAAGATGAAAAGCACACTAAATCAGTATTAAATACTATTTAAGTAAGCATTAGGGAAATATTAGGATAAAATATAATATAAAATCAGAACATAATAGTATGGGAATTGTGTACAAACTAATTAAACATATTATATTTTTATATATAAATGCATACTGTAAAAGCAACCAATCAAAGATGTTAGAATATAAAACTTGCAGAGAGAGAGTATAAAATGATTGGCAGCATTGAAACTTTTTCCAACTATGACTTCAAATTCTATCTATACATTTTACATATCTGCATTTATAACATGATTTCTCCTTCCAAGAAAATATTTTTATTAAGCTTATAACTAGGGAAAATTACAATAGCACTCTTAGTTAAAAATAATTTCCTTCTTTATTAGGAACCTAAATATTGTTCAGTAAGAAAAACAGGAATCAAATAAGTATTCCCTGTAGGGTGGGCCAAAAGTTGTGAAGAATGAAACACAGAGTTTATACTTGTATTATTATTTATTTGTGGTTTTATTTTCCATACAAACAACTATAAACCTACTTTTGCCATACCCTATACACCCTACTTTGGGAACACAAATATTCCTCCATATGTGCATTTTTGTGTATGATTTTATGAGTATAGAGAATTCTAAAATGGAATAGGCTGTATGCCATAGCCATATGTTCTTTCAGGTGTTGCTTATTGGGGTAGAGTGGGATACAGAATGAAGGTGAGGAAGGGAAGAGAGAGGGAGGTAGCAGTATAGATAAATATGAATGGATGGGTGGATCCTAAATAGCTTCCATAGTTGCCTTAGATTGAGTTACTCAAAAACAGACCCTGAGGCAGGAATTTGCATACAAGTGATTAAGAAAACTCCCAGGAGAACTGGTAAGAAAATGGAGGAAGCAGGAGTATGAAGGATGATGCCAATCAAACTCAGAGTGACTAAGGGGAGCTCTGGAATCTGATTACATCTCAGAGTCCATACTATGGGAACAAAGAAGCTGAGATTCCACACTCTGACTCCAATCCATCATTGGCGACAGGCTTAATGGAAATGTACATGTGGGATGGAAGACAATATCACAGGCACTTCTGGTTCTCTGTAGTGGCTCCAGTAGTTCAAATGTAGGTCTCCAAAGAAGGTGGCAGTTACAGCTTTTCAAAGCAAAACTCAGAATCTGGGCAATGGAAGCAGGAATAAGTAAAGGTGATTCATGGGGACCTAGTGGCCCACCAACTGTCAATTAGGGTACCTCAATGCTCAGAGAACTATGAGAGAATCTTAATTCTCAGCTCATTATAATATTCACATTCTACTCAGTTTTCTTTTTCTTTTTTAATATATTTTTATTGATGTCAGAGAGGAAGGGAGAGGGAGAGAGAGCTAGAAACATCAATGATGAGATAGATACATTGATCGGCTGCCTTCTGCATGCCCCTATTGTGGATCAAGCTCACAACCCAAACATGTACCCTGACCAGAATCAAATCATGACCTCCTGGTGCATAGTTTATGCTCAACCACTGAGCAACACTGGCCAGAACTACTCAATTTTCAATATTGGTGCCTTAGACTTTAATTTGTGTTATTTAAACCTTCCATTTCCTTTTACTCAAAGTTACACTATATTGCAAACCCATAAGTAACCCACAAATAAACAATATTTACACCATTCTCTGAGGACTTAAGCTGTTTTATTAAGTTCTCATTGTGTTAAGAACATTATTCTGTAAATCAGAAAGTAACTCACTTAGAATGTGAAGTGTCTCTAAATATCTGAGGTCAAACTACATACTGTTATTACCAGTGACTTTTGCTCATAGAATATGTAATATTAGAAGAAGGCACTGGCCTGGGTGTTCAAAAATTTGAGTTTTGCTCAAACTTTACCTTTCTTAGTCCTGTTTTCTTATCAATAAAATAAGGGTCTAGAAAGGTAAACTCTTACAGTTCTGTTTCCAAATGCTAATATGTTTGGTCTATACAGTAATATAGATAAGTTATCCTGTCTTTCAAATAACTATTTTTTCATTTATATCTACTGAAATTAAATACATAAACACATATTTTTAAAAATACTTTCCCACAGTGAACAGTGTTCTTCACATTATAATTATATATAAAAGTTAAGACTCTGCTGTCACTATCGTGTGTGTGTGTGTGTGTGTGTGTGTGTGTGTGTGTGTGTGTTAAGAAGGATATTGGTCATAACTAATTAGGTATTCTCCATTCAGTTAATTATATCCCCCCAATTCTTAGATACTTTTTTCATACTGAAAAAGTATTTCAGCCCTCGCCAGTTTGGCTCAGTGGATAGAGCGTCGGCCTGCGGACTGAAAGGTCCCAGGTTCAATTCAGGTTAGGGCACATGCCCAGGTTGCAGGCTTGATTCCCAGTAGAGGGCATGCAGGAGGCAGCCAATCAATGATTCTCTCTCATCGTTGATATTTCTATCTCTCCCTCTCTCTTCCTCCTTGAAATCAATAAAAATATTTTTTAAGGTATTTCATTTTTTAAAACTCAAATGAATGTAGTTTGAATATGAAAAGGGACTAAAATAACAAAGAAAGCCAAGTATAAGTTA